AGAAGAGGAAGCATAATTTCCCATTCACTGTGACGGAGGGAGGGGAGGGGCTGTGGGAGTGGGGAAGGGCCCTTAGTTCTGCCTACAGACAAAATCAGCTACCTACAGCCACTTATGGCCACCTGCGGGCCATGTGGGACTATCCAGCATCCCCAGAGGGTTCTTGCCTTCATTCCGTTGCTTAGGCAATTCCCTCTTCCTTGAGCACCCTTGTCCCCATCTCCATCTGTATACACCCCACCCATCTTCAAAACCTGTTCCAAAGCCATTACCACCAAGAAGCCTTCCTTTCTCTTGCATTTGCAGTCAGTCTTTCCACTGCACCCCCCGGCTACACCCAATGCACGCAGTGTACCTCTGATCAACACGTTCCTCACACGCAGCCCTTGTAGCATGGTTAGTTGTGTCCAAATCTGCCTCCCCCACCAGCTGGAGAGATCCCAGGGCAGAGGTGTGATTCTTCTGCATCCTCAGAGCTGGGCACGGAGCCTCAGTCACAGCGTAGGCCGAGTTAAGGGCGTTTTCTCACGGTGCTTGGAAACACCTGGGCATGCTCAGTCTCGCCTATTAGTCCCTTCCTAGAATCAGTCCCCCTCACCCACTACCCTCCAGTTCTCTGACACTCCCTCACTTTGGGCTTCTTTAACTTCTCAGGCCCTTCTCTCCTCCACTCTTTGGCCCCCCAATCTTCTTCTTGCAGCTGCAGCATCCAGCTTATTTCAGCAAAGAAACAGACCTAGGTCTTATGAGCGCTGTCAGACAGACAGGGACGCGGCTCCTTTAACAGTGGCCAGCAAGGGGGCGTCGCCCGCAGAGAAAGCCCGAAAAGGGGTGCGGCTCCTTTAAGAAGCGGCCAGTCCCCTGAGAAGAGGCCCCTGAACCGCCGGAAAAGGCGAGGTCGCTTTCGTAGCTGTAGCACCGCCTGGAGAGCCCTGATTCCTAGAAGCCGGCACCTTCGCCTTAACTCAGGTGCGAGGTGTCGGGAGCGGCCCTTACACCGACCGCCACGTGTGGGCCTCTCAGCGGGTGTGGGGGTGATGACCCCGCCCCCGGCCCCTGCCTTGGAAAATACCGGGGCGCCCAAGTCCCGGCCCCTGGTCCTGCCCCCGGACCGGCTAGGGCCCCTCCCGGCCCTTCGGGAAAGCACCCCCTCCCGCCGGGCCCCAGACTTGCAGTCAGCTCCCTCCGGACATTGTCTGCGGGGTGCGGGGCACCGGCTGGGGTGCAGGCCCCGGACTGTGGGCCCCTCCCCTCACCTGCGGCCCCCCGGGCCCGCCCTAAGCGCACCTGGAGTGACGGTTGGGGTAGGGAGGGCGCGGATTCTTCCCGGGAGAACAGTCAGAGAACACCGTGGCCTTAGCCCCTTCCCAGAGCCGGGAGCCGCAGACAAGGGCCCGAGGGCACCCAGACTCCCGGGCACGTCTTCCCAGGACCTTTGGGCGCGCAGGAACCCGCACCCGACCGGCGAGTCGGCGGGTAGATGGGGAGGCAGGTCGGCTGGAGGTCCCTGGCGTCTGCAGGCCCCCAGAGGGCAGACCCAACTGGCGCCTGTAACTGACACTCTGGTTCTGGCGCTACCGGTACTGCCACGTGCCTGCCGCTCGGGACCAAACCGTCCTCAGCACGCAGCTCTCCTCCTCCAGGAGCACACCCCCGCGACCCGCCCACTGCAGCTCCTTGGTGACAGCGGTGACACCCAGACGCAGGCACCTACCCGACCTTTCCGGCGAGACAGACATCCCCACGCGTGTACCCACACTTATCCAAGGATTCCCGCATGTATGCGTGATCACACACACACACAATCGCTCGCGCTCTCTCTCGCTCTTCCTGGGGCTCAGCCCCATGGAGCCACCAAACACCCAGACCAACGACGGCAGGCTAGAGAGAGGCTTGGGTGCAGCGCCTCCTTCCCTTACCCTATTCCTGGCCCCCAGGCGAGCTGCATCCGCCCCGCGGTGCGCCCAGGTGGCTTTCTTAAAGGGAAAGTTCCATCAGCCTCTTGAGGCTCTGTGCCGCCGCGAGTCTGCCTTCCCCGCGGATCTGCTCCTAGTTCCTCCTGAGCTCATTGTGTTTTGGTTTTGGGCAGGCGGGGGACAAGAGTTTGGTGAAAGTTTGGAGAGTGAAGAAGGCTTGGGAGACCTAGCCAAATCCCTCCCCTCTCCGAGCAGCTCCCCTGGCCGCCCTGCCCACCCCCACCACCCCCGCC